AAGTAAATATTTGCTTAATATTTAAATCAAAGTTAGTCGGTCTCACTTATAAATGTATCTTCGACTACTAGAAATTATTATGTAATTTAGAACTATCCATGATCTTAATTAGTTACTTTGTAATATGTATTTATGTTTTTAATTTTAAAAAATAATGAATTACTTTTAATTATATATATATATATATATATATATATATAGATTAGTTAATGTTATAATAACCATTGGATAGATTTTTTTTATGCTGCAGGAAGAAAAGAAATTATTCTTCGATGAAGTTACCATTTAATTATGTGGGTATTGTTTGTCTGGGATGAGTGTGAGGGGGGTTAAAAAGGGAAGAGGAAAAAGAAAGAAAACATAAAACAAAATTAAAATCTTAAATACATTAGAATTTCATTCACTGTATATGGGTCCCATATTCTATTAAATATATATAATATGTATGAGAAAACCTCCCTAAAAAATTAGAATTTTGTAAGCATTAATTGTGGGCCGCTATCACAAATAGCGGGCAAGAATTAAAATCGTCCATTTTCTTAGGATGTCATTATAGTTACATCTGACTTATAATAAAACAGAAGATGGACGACACCTTGCTAAAACAATTATTTATACATAAAAGGAAGAAAAAGTCAATCCATAATTGATTATCCCGGGGAAAACTATTATTCTTCCACAATCACCACACATCATCCCCAACCGCAATCGAAATTTGCGTACCCACGTTTAAATATGAAAGCAACAATACAATAACCAAACAATCTCCTCATCTTTCTAATCATAGTTATCAAATTCATGCTTTCATTTTCAACCGTTATATCATAGAGAAAATAGGTCATGCATGCACTTTAGACTGCCTTCAAATTCAATTATCAAAACAAATATACCACCATCAAATCACAAACTATCATTTATGATTAATTTTTTATATATATAAATAGAAACAGATTTACTGAAATTCATTAATAATTTATTGTATAATACAAAATGAGATATGTCTATAATCGTATAGACTAGCATGAAATTCAAAAACCTATGCCAATCCATGAGCGATTGTATTCGCTTGTCTTTAGAGTGAAACTAATTAACCTTGTAGTTTTTTGAGCTATCTAATAAGTTTTACAGTTTGTTAATTTTTATAATAAGTGTCATAATATTCATGATCTGTATTAAGTAAAGTGATTAATGTAATTTTTCACGAGGCATGCATGCATGCATGAGTTAGCAAGTTACATGGAGGTAGTAAGTAATTAACGTACGTGGAACTTGGATTGAGCAGAAGCTTGGAAGAACTGAACGCGAACTTCAACAAGTTGAGCCAGCTCCCAGAGTCAATAGGGTTCGAGCTGATAAACCTGAAGAAGCTATCAGTGAACTGCAACAAGCTGGTGTTCCTTCCTCGGTCCACCTCTCACCTAACCGCTCTGAAGGTCCTGGATGCGCGCCTCAACTGCTTGAGGTCTCTGCCAGAAGACCTAGAGAATCTCATAAACCTGGAAGCCCTAAACGTCAGCCAGAACTTCCAGTACCTGGTGGCCCTACCCTACTCCATTGGCCTCCTCCTCTCCCTGGTCGAACTCGACGTCAGCTACAACAAGATCACATCCCTCCCGGACTCCATTGGCTGCCTCAAGAAGCTCCAGAAGCTCAGCCTCGAAGGCAACCCCCTCGCTTCGCCACCACCGGATGTCGTCGAGCAGGGGTTGCATGCGGTGAAGGAGTACCTCGTCCAGAAGATGAACTCCGGCCACCAGAGCCCCACCAAGAAGAAGTCCTGGGTGGGGAGGTTGGTCAAGTATGGCACCTTCAATGGACAATCCAGAAGTGTGCCCCGCGAGGACCGTGAGGCTTTCATTGTTCCTGATTATAGGCCCATTGATGGCCTCACTTCGCCACGCTACATGGGCATGTTTTCTCCTCGCCGCCTCTTCTCGCCGCGTAACTACTTCAGCACTTGAGGCTCTATATCAGAGTAGCTAGCTTTACTGCTCAGGTGTTGGACTTTTTTAGAGTGCATAAAGGGAGTGGTGGTGGGCTCCACAGACTTCATGGATCCACTGGCTTTGTTTCATTGTAAGAGTGTCTGTGTAAGTAATACACATACATATATGTTCTTAGCTATATCCTGGCTCTGGTATGTAAATAAACTTCATGCTTCTGTGGCCACTGTGTTGGTGTGTTTGGTTTACTGGCACTACACTTTCTAATGAGAAGTTATTATTGCATGATTCAGGATTACATGCTCTCCCCAGCCATTCTCCATGCAACATATTGTGTGGAGTGGAGATTAATCAGGACCACATGAACTCGGACCATGTAATAATTTGTCCTTTTTAATACATCTGAATGAAAAGCTTATCTCACCTTGGGTTGACTTTTAACTTCAGTAGTCCAGTTTCAACTCTCTAAATGGGTTTCCAAACATACTTTATCATATATATGTGCCTGCAGCGTTTACCAATAGCAAAGCAAACAGAACATTTACGACTATATATATATATATTCGATTCTATCTCAACGAGAATTTTCACACATGTATTTAAGGGGATGATCTCAGGACTATTCAGTTATTTCCAAGAGTTTTCCTGCTAATCACAAGATGAGATGGGCTGATAGGTAACTATAAAGATATTTTGATATTTTAGTATTGGAGTCAAATGAAGAAGATTAGCAAAAAGATGAGCATTCAGAACTTGTAAGTACATCCGTTGGGAGACCAAGAATGTAATGGAAGTATGAAGCTGCTGTAATTCTGCTTAAGAAACCAGCAGTACAATTACAATTTTACTAGGATTTATAATTCTTGGATTCTCAGCCAGAAAACTTATCGATCGGATCTAATCAAGAAAATGTTAACAAATATTAAACAACTAATACGAGTTTATAAATTAATCTTTCACTGTTAACTTTAAGATATTATAAATCATGTTTATAAAAAAAAAAAAAAAAACCGAGTTTGCAAATTGCAACTCAACATTTTTTCCCCCCATCAGTTACTCTTATATCCCCTTGGCTTTCATGATATGGTCCCTTCTTCTCTTCAATCCGTTTGTTGTACAACACCAATTTTGAATGAAGCATAGATGCCTTTGGAGACCGTACTAACATGCCTATCAATTGTTCACCAAATTCTCTCTTGACACGATATTGAAAATTTTCCTCTCAACATTACATTTTTCTTTTATTTTGGAAATAGACAGGGAATGGATGTTGGGGGAGGGAAATGAATATAATGTTTACTTCTTGTACAGGGAAATAGAGATGGCCCTTTGAAATGGGAACCTATATTGTTGATTATACCAACACTTACCGTTGTACATTTGTGATCCAACGGTTGCACCTGTATCATAGGACGAACGTATGATGCTCATTAAAGAAAATAAAATAGCTCTCTGACATATAAAACTGTTGATCATTTACCTGTCTTACTTAAGGGGTAGACTTTCTCCTTCCTATTTTCGTATGTGTCATGGTAGTAGGAACATAAAATAAAATAAAATATCAGGTTATAATTTTTCATTATTTAGCATGTTAAATCCAGAAATGATTGGGAAAATCCTTATGATTAAAATTAGTATAAAACACTAGGAAGTATGCAAGTATACATAATTTTGAATGACTCAGTCATGAAAATCAATCATGATTCATTACGAGATTTAATCTAATAAACTAACCAACCAATACCCTATGAAACAAAACTTCTTGGTAATTTAACATCCAAAATCTTGAGATGCTCTCCATGATGTAAATCAAACCTCCAGCGATTTGAACTGATGTGGAAGTTGCATGAGCTACACATGCATTGCTTCATCATGTACGTGATATCCAATGAAGGTTTTCTCAGTCATGTCAGCCTCAAGGTGACACTATTATTTGTTAAAATCAAGTGTCAAGGAAGTCTTTTCCCAATTCTACTGCCAAGATGATGATTGTGTCATCCTTTAACAATGACCAAGTGAATTGAAGTCAAATGGGTGCTATTGCACTTTGTCCATGGGACAGAATCCACATCATGCTTGCTTAAGTTTCTACCACAGTCACTGCACTAACACGTGTCAGTTTTTCTGCAATAATTATGGTCCTGATAAGGACAAGGAGCATTATTAGCACTTTCAACCAACATCAAATGTCACGTGAACCTTATTGCTTGCATTGTTTCTTGAATTTCACACCACCAATGAACATTTCACTGACTAGAAAATGACTGCCCTCTGTTCCTACCCATGCCAACTCTGAATGTCAATGCTGGAAATGTTAGCAAGCCCCGACAACAGAGTTAGCACTGTGAAAACCAAATATTTTCCTCCTCACACATCTGAGACTGAAGGTTTAAACTTCTCATGTGGTCTATCAGACTATTCATCATCAAAAGCATCTCAGTCATTCCGTTGTTTGACTTACCTTGTGCTTCAAATCTATGGACTTTGCTTTTGACTTCAATCCAACTACAACCAGGATTTGGTTTGAGACCTTTGTCTTTCATTAATTTTCGCACTCGTGATACCTGATTCCACCAACCTACTCTTGCATATAGATTCGCTAGCTGTTGAAGTGTTGCTGAGCACCCTGGTTCCAACAATAACCTACTCTCTGCTGCCTGGATGCCAATCTGAACATTTCCATGAAGCCTGGAGGAAGAAAGTAGTGAACCCCATATTACAGCATTGGGAAAAATAGGCATATTTTGGATGAAATCACGAGCCTCCCGAAGCAAACCAGCCCGACCAAGAAGATCCGCAATGCAAGAATAATGATCTAACTCTGGCTGCACACCATGCTCAACCATGGAATTAAAGTAAACTTGACCTTCTTTGACAAGACCTCCATGCCGACACGAGGATAAGACGCCAAGGTAAGTAACAGCATCAGGATGAACACCTTGCTTTATCATCTCTTCAAAGAGATTAATCACCTCTTGTGCAAGCCCATGCTGCGCATAGCCACTGATCATGGTGTTCCATGTGACAACATCCCTGTCCTTCATATTTTCAAATATGTACAAGGCATCATCAATTGCCCCACATTTGGAATACATCGCAATGAGAGCATTATCAATGTGGAGGTAAGAATGAAAACCCATTTGAATTATTTGACAATGTGCACATCTACCATGTCCCAAAGCTCCGCTGCCCATACAAGCACTCAGAAGACTAGTGTACGTAAAATAATTTGGTCTCAAATCTGAACCCCTCATTCGATGGAAGAGCTCCAAACACATGTCAACACGCCATTCTTGTGCAAACCCAGAAATAATTGCCGTCCATGAAACTACATTTCTCACAGGCATTTCTTCAAACATACGGTATGCATCACCCAATAAGGCACACCTGCTATACAAACGTATCAAAGAACTTCCAATATAAACACTGTGAATGAACCCAGTTGTTATTGCCAAGCAGTGATATTGAATTCCTCCCCAAAAGTCACGCTTGGACCCACATGAGCTCACAGCCTGTGACAAGAAACTCGCATCAACTCCGAATTCTTGTTCCATCTGTAGAACAGAGGATTGAATAGTCTTTTCAGTTGCACTCCCCCGAGTAGCTGAATTGTGAGCAAGAGGGATAGTTGCACTGTTTTCCAACAAGTCATCAATGAGCTTAAGATGAATTTGACAATTCTCACCATTAGTAACACGCGTTCTTTGGGATACAAGTTTAAGGACTCTTAGTGCATCTAACCCTTTAATTGATTTCGTGGGTGACAATTTGTGGGACGAGAAAAGCCTGAAATTTATATTCTTAAGACAGAATGTTGTGAGGAATGCTTGAATCCTTATGGGCATTGTAATAGGATTGAGGCCTCTTGGTGGTGTGAAACATATTCTATGAATTTAAGAGGAATGCTATTCTCCCACTTTAACATCACGGACCAACCCACCTATTTATATTTCATCAATTCATTTATATAGGTTCAAAAATAATTAAAATATTAATAATTAATATGTATAATTCATAACTAAAATTGATAATAAATAAATATTATATATCTAATATTTGTAATAGATAACTATTTTTTAATATATAAATTATATTTTATATTTATGATAAATAATTTATATTGTGATATAATTTTATTTTAATAATTAATAATTTTAAAAATTTTAAAAACTTTCTTGTCCAATAAAACTCCATAAAAATAATTTTAAAAAAATAATTGGTATAAATACTTTCGTATAAAATAACTCCTTTAACTGATATATAGAAGATAACGTACAATTTATTTGATAATTTATATTTTATATAATTTTATTTGTTCAGGTATATAAGACTTATGGTCATACAATTTATATCATCAATTAACTAGATATTATATAACTAATGATATGATTGTTAAGATAATAATTATAAAAATTAATAAATTTATCATATATAATATAAAATTATATTATATTCTCAGTATAAAACCTATTTTCTCTATATTTGAAAATGTACAACGTTTTTAGAAAGAATTATTATATTAATACGAATCAATAAAATTTTAAATTTTAAATTTTAAACTAAACTATTTTCTGAAATTTTCTCATAACTAATTATATTATGAGGAACTATGTCATCCTTTATTTTAAATATCACAAGTTTTTCTTTTTTTAGAAAAATCAAGTTAACTGATTTCATTCACTAATATATAATAATACATGAAGAGATATGATTATATACATGTTGATTAACTTGAAATTCGACTAACTTAACTAAGTTATAAGCAACCAAATTAACTCGTTTAGAAATAAAATTGACCTCACAATTTTTAAAACTATTAAAGACCTGCTTATAATTATTAATAATATTCTTGAATTCAGTAACATCTAAAACTAAATCCTTTACACAATCAACAACTCGTATACAATCTAACTAAAAAATAATATTATCAAGTTGTTGTTTCATAACCCAAGTAAGAGCTTCAAGAGAAGTGCAATGACCTCACACTTGAGTAGAAGGAAGGTAGTTGAATTATTTTTTATTAAAATTGATTTTCAAGGAAAGTAATGTAGGTTTGGATGTTTTTATCTTAAAAGCAAGTTTGCTATAATTTTTTCAACTCAATGTCAAAGCTAATTTTTTTTATTTCTTCTAATTGCACTAAGGGTGAAGTAAAATCAATTTTACCTACCATAACAAGAACCTACATTTTTATAAAATCAAATTTGACTATAATCTAAATTAATTTCCATTATTCTTCAACACTCTAAGCAGAGAATTCTAAAAAAAAAACAATATAAATCAATCAAACAAAAAAAAACAAAGAATTATCAACAGGTCATCCACCACCTAGTCAAAAACCAAAATGGGTCAAAACCAATACATTATTATTCTTTTTATACTTTTGGTAACCCTATATGTTTTCTAAAAGAGTAATGCTATATCTAATTATATATTTTTTAATGTTTTATAATAAAACATTAAAATATAATATCTTAAAATATAAAATCTTGAATATTTACCATATAAAATAAATAAAAATGTAAATTATTTCTTTCAAAATTGATGAAGAAATCGGTTTTTGGTTTTTAGTTTATAGTTTATAGTTTTTACAATTGGTAAGTGTTTGTGTTGGACTCCCGTGGCGTCAAAATGGGGTATAGGGACGACACCGTTTTTGTTGGATAAAGAGAAGGACAACGTTAAACTGGATGTCTTGTCATGTGAAAGGTATTAAGGGGTCGCCGACAGCTGCCATTTTCCGCCATCACCGGCACAATCCACGTGTCCATCTTCCTTTTCCTCTCAACACCCTTTGTCTCTTTTTCATTCACTCTTACCCTCTCTCACTCTCTCATTTCCTCTTCTCAAAATGCTCAATTTCTTCCTAACGAAAGACGTCCGAAAGATTCTCAAGCGCAAAGATAGCGATGCCGGGGAAAAAGGTACTCTACTCTCAACTCAACATTCCTTTTTTTTTTTTTTTTTTTTTTTTTTTTTTTTTTT